ATGTTTGGCCCATGAAAGTAGACATTGAGCTCCTACTGTGTATCAGGAACACATCATGGTGGGCTCTTCCCCCATACACATGGCCACCCTGTGCTGTCCCACCCAAGATCAATCCACCCCCTATGAATGCCATGGTCTCTTCCACACACCTCCAGGACCTTGTCCACAACCATCCTGTCTGTCCATATTGATCATTCTAACTTTCCCACCAGTTCAGCCCCTACCATCTATCAACGTATAAGCACACAGCCTACCAAATGTGGCGGAGCTCTGGTTGAGTCTAACCCTCTCTCTGCATTGTACAGCTGGTGGCTCTCAACAGCTCAGTTTCCCTCATCTATAAGCAGGGATGCTGACAGTTCCTTCTTTAAGGTCTGTCCTGTGATTCTGGCAAGAAGATGCAAGGAAGGATTGATATCCAGACACCACTGATGGTCCAACTGTAAGCCAAGGCAATCAGACGAATATTGCCACCAAAGCCTAACCACATCTGGACATAATTATCATTCCCCATTCTGGGAAATGTACCAAATCGACTGGGTGTTACTGAGTGGTAAACAAAAGGTAGGTGATCCTCTGTCAAAGGCATTTCTTCCAAGGGTCATTTCAGCCACCAAAACCAAACATGAAGACCCAGGGACTGCCCAGTTGTGGTGGCTCAGACCTGTAATCACAGCATTCTGGGAGGCTGAGGCAGGAAGATTGCAAGTTTGAGCCTAGCTTAGGCAATTTAGTAACTTTTTTCTGAGACAGGTTCTCCCTGTGTAGCTCAGGCTGGCCTTGAACTCACTATGGAGCCTGAGCTGACCTTGAACTTGCAGTGATCCCCCTGCCTCAGCCTCCCCAGTACTGGGATTATAGATATGGGCCATCACACCACCACACCTAGCTCAATTTAGCAAGATCCTGTCTCACAGTAAAAAAGTAAAAAGAGGGGCTGGGCGTGGGGCACACACCTGTAATCCCAGCACTCGTGAGGCTGAGGCAGGCGGATCATTGCGAGTTTGAGACCAACCTGGGCTACAAAGTGAGCTCAAGGCCAGCCTGAACTACATAGGGAGACCCTGTCTCAAAAAGACAAAAAATAAAAAAATAAAAAGAGGGCTGGGGATTTAGCTCTGTGGCATAAGCACCTGTCTGGCAAGCACAAGGTCCTGAGTTTGATTCCTGGTACCAAAAAAAAAAACCTGAAAATAAAAAGTAAAAAGAGCTACAGACATAGTCAGTGAGAAGACCCTGGGTTCAATTCCCACAGAAAATTAATAATAATAATAATAACAACAACAACAACAACTAAGGTGTTCTTTCCACACAGGAATGTTTTACAGGCCCTACACTTCCAAGCTATAGTGCCTGTCCTCCACAGGTTCCCAGGCCAGCAAAGACCAACAGAAGGGCTATTATATAAACAAACAGGACCTGAAGTTTGCTGAGGCCATTGACTTTGACTGATGGGTTTGCAAGTGGAGGTGGACATGGATCCAGAGAAGACTTTTTGGATAGCTAGGGCCCAAGAGAGGAATAGATAGTTAACACACTGGTAATGCGGGTCCAGATGGCCATTAGGACTGGCCTTAAGGAAACTAGGAACCACTACTGTTCTAAATCTGGCCCTAGTGAAAGTGATATTGATAAACAGGCACTTACCTTATGACCCAGCAATTCCACTCCTAGATCTATACCTGAGGAATGGGTACATATGTCCATATATACTTACACAGGGACAGGAATGTTCACAGGGGCATTATTTACATAGGTACACACTGAAAAAACACAAATGTCCAGCAGCAGAATAAGTAGGAGCTGTGCGTGTGTGTATGTGTGTGTGGGGGTGTGTGGGTGGAAAGCTATGGTATCACCATTGTCCATGTAACAATTAAGTAAATATAGAAAATAAATTGAAAAGGATAGATTTCACAGACATTACATTGAGCCAAAAATGCAAGGCCCAGTAGCTGGGCATGGTAGTGTACACCTGTAAGCACCAGCATGGTAGCACACAGCTGTAATTCTAATACTAGAAGGCCTGAGGCAGGCAGATCCAGAGTCAGAGACAAACCTGGACTACATAGTGAGACTCTGTCTAAATAAACAATGCCTTGGGATGCAGCTCAGTGGCAGAGTGCTTGCCTAGCATGTGCAAAACTCTTCATTTGATCACCAGTACTGGAAAAAAAGCCAGGTGATCTAGAACAGGCAAATTAGGCTACACCTCTTTGCAATAGAAGTCTGAAACATGACTGGGAGAGGGTATCCACTGTTGACTGGATTGGGGCATGCGGGGGAGCTTTCGGGGTTGTTGGAAATACAAGGGATGATTGAAAACTACAATGAATGTTTAATTTAAAAAGAATCACAGGAAGCTATCCTGACTCTTCATGGTGGCCCACCCTGTATCTTCCAGACCAAGGTGTACTTTTATTTTTGCTCTTTTTCTCTTTTTCCCTTCTGTTTGGCCCATGTTTTCTCTGCAGAGCCAATTTCTCCCTTACCCCTTTACCACTTACTTTTCAAATAAACCTGTTACCATTTTAAAAACAATAAATAAAAACATTACAGTAAAAGACACATTTCCAAGAGCCAGTCATGGTGGCACACACCTCACATCTGTAATCCCCGCACTGAGGCAGGAGGATCTCTACAAGTTTGAAGCCAGCCTGGGCTACATGGTGAACTATGCAGTGAGACCCTGTCTCAAAAAAAAGACATTGCCAAGACACCAAGGCAGACACAAAAGCGCAACTAGATATGAAAGAGAACTTCCAGACCTGCTTCAGAAACTGAAAAAAACAAGTTCACTGAAAAGGACTAAACTGGAATAAAGCGTTGAATTACAGCTATTAAGCATCCTATCCTACTTAATAGTAAAATGAACTTAGCTGGGCCTGGGTGGCACACACCTGTAATCACGCCACTTGGGAGGCTGAGGCAGGAGGACCATTTCGAGTTTAAAACCAAAAGTGAGCTCAACGCCAGCCTAAACTGTATAATAAGACCCTGTCTCAAAAAAAAAAAACCAACCAAACAAAAAAACCACCTTACAAGAAATAAAATGGCCTTTGTTAATAAAGACTTTCTTTTAGCCATTAAAAAAAGAAATTAGCAAGAACAATGGGATATGTGTTTTAAGTAAAGTATTTAGAGGGGCGTTAGTGGTAATGTGTCTTACTATAATAAAAATTTAAATTTTTTTTTTTTTTTTTTGTCTTTTTGAGACTGGGTCTCCCTGTGCAGTTCAGGCTGGCCTTGAGCTCACTTTGTAGCCCATGCTGGCCTTGAACTAGAAATGATCCTCCTGCCTCAGCCTCCCAAATGCTGGGATTACAGGCATGCACCACCATACCCGGCCCAAAATTTAAGTATTTACTGTACTTTTTTTTTTTTTTAACAGGGGTCATACTATATAGCCCCGGCTGACCTCAAACTCTCAGTGATCCTCCTGCCTCAGCCTCCCAAGCAGTGGTAGAGGCATGCACCACCAGGCCCTGCTTTACTATACTTTTTAAATTCCACGTGGTATTCTAAATTTTATTTGAGCCGAAAGTGCTGTAATCCTTGCACTCAGGGGGCTGAGGCAGAGGACTGCTACGAGTTTGAGGCCCCCTGGGCAACAATGTGAGTTCAAGGCCAGCCTGAACTGCATAGTGAAACCCTCTCTAAAAAAGACAACAATCATAATCATAATCATAATAAAATTTTATTTGGGTTGTGAGCATACAAGCATATACAAATACAAAAATTCCATTCAGTACCTAGGCAGTGGAGCACTCCTATAAATCCAACACTCTGGCAGGCTGAGGTAGGAGGATCCAAATTCGGGTCTAGCCTGGGCAATTTAGCCACTTTGGGAAACCCTATCTCAAAATTAAAACAAACAAAAGCTGGGGATGCAACTCAGTGCAAACGCTCTGGGTTTAAGTCTCAACACTAGAAACCAAACTGGTTTATTAAACCAAATAAAAACAAAAAAAGCACTTTACTGCATGTTATGCCTTAGTATGTTTAGGGTCCTCCCCGTAAACCCGAATCCCATTGTGTTGGAATCAGTGGTTCATGTTACTGCCGAGGAACAGGCAACGCAGTTTTTTTGTTTTGTTTTGTTTGTACTGGAGAATAAACCCAGTCTTTGCATTCAGCTGCATCTCTAGGCCTAGCATTCATTCATTCATTTATGGCACCGGGAATCGAACTCAGGATCTTGCGCTTGCCAGGCAGGCGCTTGTGCCGCTGAGCTGCATCCCCGGTCCTTTTCTATTTATTTATTTAGATATAGTCTCGCTAGGTAGTTCAGGCCGGCCTGGAACTCTCGGCAATCTTCCTGCCACAGCCTCCAGAGCGCTGGAATTACAGGATTGAGCTACCACATCCGCCTGCAACGTTTTTGGAAAGGTCTGGAGATAAGAGCGCCAGGCCCGTAGGGAAAGAAGGCCTAAGGATGGCTCCTAGACCTGGGAGGGATATGGCTCACACGATGACACCATGTCCAGAGCCTCCCCGAGCCTTGGACACAGTACCTGACACATCCCAAATGAGGCGCTGACTTGACTTCGGCCCACAGCAGCCGCAGCCCCTCCCTCCCTCGAGGACGCAAGAAAAACCAGCCAATCAGCAACCGGCTTGGCGCAGGGTCGCTTGACCAGAGGGCTCCGTCACCTAAGCTGACCACGCACCTCCAATGGGCGAGCTGCCCCGTGGCCGCCAATGAACAGAGGTCTTACGTCGTGCTCCGCCTCGGCCGCACCTTTTCCTCAGCTAGCGCTCTTTTCCGCATGCCGGTTGGCATCCTGCCAGCCAATCGTCGGAGCGGCTCAAGCCCAGTAACCAATAGCCACCCGCCCCCCTCTCCGAGCCTCGGCGGTTGGTGCTGCCTGCCAGAGGCGGAGACGGATTGGCGCAGATGATAGCCAATAGACGATGCGCGCGAGACGCGGGGCCAATGATCGCGCAGGGGGCGGGAGGGGCGCCGGGGCGGGCGACGCGGGTAGCGGCTGAGGAGAGGCCGGTGGCAGCAGTGGCCGGCATCTGCGGCGGGCGGCCATGGCGGAGGCCGGCGGCGACGACGTCCGCTGCGTGCGGCTGAGCGCCGAGCGGGCCCAAGCACTGCTGGCCGACGTGGACACGCTGCTGTTCGACTGTGACGGCGTGTTGTGGCGCGGAGAAACCGCGGTGCCCGGCGCGCCGGAGGCTGTGAGGGCGCTGCGGGCCCGCGGCAAGCGCTTGGGCTTCATCACCAACAACAGCAGCAAGACGCGCGCCGCCTACGCCGAGAAGCTTCGGCGTCTGGGCTTCGGCGGCCCCGCGGGGCCCAGCGCCGGCCCGGAGGTGTTCGGCACGGCCTACTGCGCCGCGCTCTACCTGCGCC